AAAATGCAATGCAAAATACAAAATAATTTTTTTTGTCAGTAAATTTTCATTTGTAAATGTTTTGAATATTGTTTAGTTTTTGAAAGTGAAAGACAAGGTCTTTATATAATAACGTCTCTCAACAACACAAATTTAAGCTCTTTTGTATAATCATACTAGCTGAAAAAGCTCAATAAATGGCGAATATTTGGTGTAATTTTATATTTTATTCCGTACATAAATGATCTATCCATAGAAATATATTAAACTATCAGAATGAAAGTCTTCTTTTATTTACCAAACAATAAGACCGCCGATAAATATAGGAGGTGAACGAAGATGCTTTTTCTTGACCAAAAAACATACGATGGATGATTAACAAAACGAACTCTTGAAGATTTATAGAGCTAAATAAAGGGTCAATATTTGTTGCAATATGCTCTTTAATAACGGAGCTCCCATACCTAAGAGCGGAGCACCATACTTAAGAAAAAATGGTAAGCCATCGAGCTGATTTTTCATGGCTTGGCTGACGTCACTTCCGTCCGTACGTCCGTCCGTGTACACAACACAGGAATCCCGCTTGATGTCAAAGCAAAACTACTCGTAAATGCGGCTCTCAAATGCACAGAAAAAATAGTTTTAGGACAAATTACAGACCAACAACAATTAAAAAATACTTTCATATAGTCAAAGGTAGATCAAGAAGTGTTCTGCAAGAAGTCAGGTGTGTGTTTTTTAGCAAGCAAAAATATATTATGTAATACTGATTTTGACAAGAATTTTTATCGACAAATTAAAGAATTTCTCTCAAAACTTTTAATATTTCTATAGATAAGTTTAATTGATTTTAATGCTGGATGAAATATAATCCGKAGAGCAAATGTTACAACAAATATTCGGCCTTTATTAAGCATTGTAAATCTTTAACAATTCGGTTGTTTTTAACTAACTATCGTATGTTTTTCGTTCAAGAAAAATACAGCTTTATGTTCGCCTTCTATCGCGGGGTCCCATCGGCAAACAAAATCGATAATTTATTTAAATATTGAACGAAATATATTTGCAACAAATATTTAACTGTTCGGTATTTCGAGCTAGTATGATTATACAAATGATCTGGAATTTGTG